GAAAACTCAGAAACTGGGAGTATTCTGACTGAGAGCCTGTGGTAGACACTGCAGGGTAGACAACACACAAGCAGCAGGAAAAAATGGAATGGGTCTGAGAAGTGCAATATTTAAAGAGTGCGACCAAGTGAGAAAAACCTAATAAATAATCAGAAAGGGAACAAAAAAATTGGAGATGGAACAGGACACACAGATGACGCAGGATTGAAGCTAGAGAGACATACTTTGGAAGGAGGGAGCAAGGAGAGAGAAAACAGTTTAATCTAGATAGAGGACTACTTTTGCATACTTAAGTTGCACTTTTCCAGAGACACCTAACAAAGGGAGTCTTGCCCAGCCCTCTCCTAACCAACTCGTACAGCTAAAATATCAGACAGGGCTTTCCCAATTTCTCCTGAGTGACCTCCAGACCCTGTGAGGAGAGTTGATGCTGGAGAGACTGTAACACCTTCTCAGAAGCTGAGGAGGCACACAAGGACTTCACAGCCCAGCCTTCTAGCAGGGGACTCTGCCCATCCCCTGGGTACCTCTCTGTGCCCAGATGATGCCAGTTTGTCCTGGCTTTCTCTCCAGTTAAAGTGCACTTAAAGAGATCTCAAGTATTTCTAATAGGTATATACATAAACCTCTGAATTTCTGTGGTTAGATTCCAACACATTCAGCTCACGAAGTCAGGAGCTTTTGAATAACCTCCACAGCCATGCGGGAATTAATGATCTCCGTTATAATTAAGAAGCCATTCATCACCATTTTTCAATCACTTCACATATGGAACCTAATACTTTCTCTGCGAACAACATTTGACAGCCTGACTTTCAATCTTTTCATCCAGTTGTTGCCTGACTACATTTGTAAAGCACTTCCCCTCATGCTTCAGGAAAGGACACGAAAGCCACCCGACCTAAGAAAACCAGAGATACACCTCTTTCTCTGCACAAAATTAAATATTCTGCCTCCCTCTACTGGCCCTGCATTAAACCAAACCAGGAGGAGAACAAGAAAAACTAGAAAGCTGGTGTTTATTGGTATCCTAGAGAATCCTATACAGAGGTCAATGCTGAAATAGCTGAGGTTACTACTTCTCTTTAGTTTCTAAACAAGTATTACAACAGAGAATACTAAGGGTCTTTCTGAACACAGCACAAGACCCATTTAAAGTTATTATAGGTACATGGCACCAAATTAATGATCTCTTGGTGAAATTTTCTACTAAAATAATTTCTCCATTAAAAATACAAGAGAATATTAATGAACAGTGTGTTAATATAACTTCAGCTTATTTTATACCAATTTTTTAAATTAAAATGACAGGCAATCAAAATTTGTGATTCAAGGAACTTCTGGTTTGCAATTTGATCTGTCAAAATACATTTAGTAATGTAAGCAAGCTGTCACTATATAAAATACAGGAAGAGAGAAAAGAATGAGATGTCTTTTGCATATTCTTTAGATGATAGCTGCACAAATTTAAATTATTGTTTACTGAATTCTGCTTTTCTCGAATTACATAATTCAGCACGTAAAGCACTCTGCTTTCTAAGATGGACTTGAAATAGTTCACAGTGCTACAGAACAAACTTCTATCTTGTTACTCCAAATAAGTCAAAATCACAAGAGTGAGAGAAAAGTGTGCCTAGAAGCCATGTCTGCCATCAGGCCACCACCCTGGCTTGTCTCTTACTGCTTTTCTTCACCGGAGTATTTTATTTAAATTTGGGTAAAAAAGTCTCATTAAAATGAAACCAGTTAGCCATATATATATATATCTTACGAACTACAAGTACAGCACAGTGTACTGCTTCCATCACGGATCCAACAGGACACGTGATCCTCTCTCAACGGAGCCGTAGCCAGTCACGCTTCTGACCTAAACGCGAATGACTCTGCAGTAAATTTTGCTTTCTATGGTAATACCCATGGGTATGCAAAACATACATCACCACCAGGGATAAGGGTCAACTGCCTAACGAGGCACACAGTAAGCTCTGAAGTCGTCCATTGGCTCCTCCACATTTGCTCTACCCACCCAGCAGCCCCAACGCCGCGGGTGCCGCGCAGGGCATCGAAGCCCAAGCCAGGCACGGGCTTCCGAAGCTGCCCAAAGGCCGTTCCTCTGCCCTGCGTGGCGCAGACACCACAAGCCAGCGCAGGTCAAAAACCCGGCCCCGATCGGCTCCCTGCGGGGTCTGCAAAACTTGTAGGCGCTGAACACACAGAGTCTTTAGCGTACAAGTTTTTAAACAGCGCCCATTTTTCCTCTGTCGAAGCAGACCAAACCATGACAGACATTTCTTCAGAAAATAAGGGTTCCCATTTATCAGCCCTGTAATTTCCTAACTAACTGAAGTTACCCCTAGGCGTGGAATTGTCAGGCCATATTAAAAAAAAGTTCCCAGCGTGACAACAGCAGAAACATACCATGAAATTCTACATAAATCAGTTGAAGAATCACTTATATTTCAAAATGTTAGAATTAATGCTAACACAACTCCAAGAAACTTCAATTTGCCACTAAAAAACATACTTTAAAAGGAAAAATATTTTAATGACTTTTCCATACTCACTTGATACAGATTTTAGTACTACAGGATATCACAATGCTAATGCTGTACATTAAAGCATATTATAAAGCTTTATGGCACATAACATTACATTGCAAGTATATATTGTCATCAGAAAAACCCAGAACAATTAACATTATTAATAATATTAATGTTAATAATATAGTATTTTAACATTAAATATTAACATTATTAATAATAATGTTCTAAATATATAAAAACGAGAGAGTAGTCTACAGAAAATCTAGTTTCTGGGGACTTCAGTGAGCAGAACTCTCTTGACATTTTGAGGCGGAGGGGGAGGTGTGCATTTTTAAATATTCCATCACATTACCTGTTCTTTTTTTAAAGTTCAAAGAGGAGAAAATAGATTTTTCGCACCGTTAGCATAATAGTTTTGCTGAGTCTTTAGGACTTCACTACATACTCAGCAGCTGCGCTTCTCAAGCTACCCTAAGCAACCACCCTCTCCTGTGCACCCAGTTCTACTACGCTCTGCAGACACTGGAAACAGGGAACTGTTACAGAAAAGAAAAAAGAAATTATTTTACCCTCTCCTGTTTGTTTCATTATATCCCACACAGGGGTTCCTACTACTGCCGTTACACAGGAAATAGTACAAAAGGCAAGAATATAAGGCCAGGGGGAAGAAGACCAGTTGTGCCTGCTGTTGATCAAATATCGCCTGAAAAGCACAATTACCAGGAAATTTAAAGTTGTACATCCTACAGCACAAGCTCATTCCTGCATCCTCTGTATAGTGCTAGTACATTTATACTGAGCAATAAAAACACGTCTCAATCCATTCCAAAGCAACTGAAGCTAACAGGAGTCATTCACCAAACGCAAGTGGCTTTGGATTAGATCTTCAAGCAAGCAGTGACTAAGTTTTAGGTGCCCGGAAATACACACATCGGGATTTTCAGAGACATAAACTGAAAATTAGCACTAGGTAAATAAGCTATATTAATAATAAAAAATATCTCACTTAAAGAGATGTAATATACAAACCTACATACAGCCTTCAAAAACCTGCATGCACATGCATGGATATTAGGCAATGAATTGCATTACTTTAAAACTTCAGCTATCTCAGATGTTACTAGTGCATTTTAAACATAATGCCCCATTAATTTAAGTATGAAATAGTACCTGAAATTTGTAAAAACACATTCATATATAGGATGAAAACACATATTCCTTTCAGTCAATAGGTTTTAACATAACAAATGAGGTTGGGATGCTCGGACCATCAGAATTTACAGTCAAATCCTCTAAATACTTAAATACATACAAAATTCAAGTAGTCTCATTTAAAAGGAGACTGCGGTATATGCTTAAGTGTTAATGGCACCGAGGACTCAATTATCAAGCTGATGTTAAGAAAAAGAGTAGGTGAGAAGACGACATACACCTACACAGTGCATGACAGCCAATAACTTTCACGCTAGGTTTAAGTAAAACAAAGAGGCACTTTTAAATGCTTACAGAATTCAAGTTTCACAGTAACAGACAAACCCTTAACTAAACTACATTAGCACATGCCACTACAGTAAGATTCTTTTAATAATTTTTTTTACATGCACCTCAAAGCTCCTACAGGCATTTTTGTGAAAAGACCATGCTTTTTTTACTGTACCTGAACACTTCTGTACCTGTCACGCTGCATGTTAATGAAAAAATAAGACAGGGAACATTAGGTTATTTTCACACGTCCTTTCTAAAGGTATAATTTCTATTCATTTTTATGTACGACATTACATGCAGTTTCACTTCAGCAGAACCAACAAAAGCACTTCAGCCTATCTTTAGAAGACAACTTTGCCAAGTCAAATAAAAAGGTTTCACTGTGCTGGAAGAAAGGGCTAAATAAACAAAGTGCAATATTTCTCCTCTTTCTCATGCATTCCCTCTGAAAGCCCACAACCACAGGTGTTGATCAAGAGGCTTGAGGGAAGTGGGTTTGGTTTTGCTAATACTCCTCATCTTAACTCCACAGAAAGGAGTTACGCACTACTAACAATGCTCTGGGAAGACAATTGCATATGCTGTCTACAGCTCCCAGCGAGAAGAATTCCCACTTCCAGCATCCCCCACACGAAAGCACACAGTTAAACACAGCACGAACGCCGAAGAATTCGCTTGGGCTTTCTGCGAAGTAAAGCTGAAGAGGCCTGGCAGACATCCTGGCAGACATCCCACGGCAAGGGTGCCGCGCGGACACACAGAGCTGAGGCGACGGCAGCATACCCGGCTGGGCAAGCTGGGCTTTGCCTGTTCCCAGGTGCCACTGACACCACTGGAAGCCAGTCATGTCTAAGGAAAAGCGCAGCCTGGCCACCTGACTTCAAATCGGGTGCGAGGGCTTAACTGAAATACTGCCCACATTAACGAAAACAACTCCTTGCACTAGCACACACGCACACCGAAAATACTTACGTCGTTTCTGGGAAACCGCCTGTAAACAAGCGGTGACAATGTCGCAGTGCTTCTGGACGTTACGTACAAGCCTGTCTTTCTGCTTCAGAAGGCGAAGCAGCTTTGCTGATTGAACAGAAATTCTGTAATTCAGTTCTCGTTTTATAGTCGTTAATTCATCGACATCTGCCAATAAGCACAGAAACTAACTTCAGGTCAAAATAATCACAAACAGCTTACTGTAGTTGACACGCAAAGAGATTATTTGCCCCATGGACATTTACTTTTACAAACTTTTTTATAAATTACAATTTCTATTGACTGGGACAATTCCCAGTTATAAACATTTTCAGGATCTGAGCCAAAGTCTTTAATTTTCTCTTAAACTAAACAACTTATTGCACAGTGTATGAATCTTAATAACTACACTGTTACAAACTGGAAACCTCATGACAGATGTAGCCAGAATATACCTATAGTAGTGCAACCCGGGGGTGTAATTTAAATACAGCACCTTCCAGAAGCCGTCTGTGGAAAATGTGCACGGGGAATAAGCAAACGGTAACAGACCAAGGAACATGTTCAAGAAGCTGCCTGCAAAGCTAGAAACGCAACCACAGCATGAGCTCTAAGTGGGAAACTCTTTCCACTAAGATGCAAACAAGGTGGCTTGTCACGGCCTCAGCTATTTCCACTGGTCAGTCACAGTGTCACCAGCTCCCCTCAGCTCACCAAAATGTCTCAGCTTATGTCTAACACTCCTGTTGTCCTTTACGCGGTAAGCTTCAGGGAGTTGTTGGGCAGATGTCTTGAGTCTATTATATTTATTTTGAGTCCTCTGCCCTGTTCTCAGGGGCACACTCCCTCAGTGAAAGCTTGGGTCTTGCCCATGAGATGCTGGCCACCTCTTCAGCCCTGTCATAGCCTGGTCCAGCTGGCCATCAGCACCTGAACAGCTGTCTGTTCCCTGAGGCGAAGTCTTCAAACCCTATCACTTCCCATCCAACCATGCCCCCTGACACTGGAAGAAAAATCAATCCAAAAAATCCATACTTTGGTAACCTGATCCAATGAGAAAAATATTCATGCATCCAGGAAAAGCTACTACCAGCGGGATGGTAAACAGTTCCACTCATATGGCAAAGCTTTTTCAACAGTTCTGGAGAGCTCAAATAAAGGGACAAGTTAGGCTGAAAAGACCATCAATCATGGGAATGTATAGAGCAAGGAACGACTGCGGGGGAGGGGGGGGAGCCACTGGTAAAACAGTCCTGTACTCCTGTATTTTGTAGCTTCCACCCTGTTTCAGCACCTGCTGCTCAGCCGGCACTCCCAATCGCTTGTACCAGGCAAGGTGATTTAAACCACATCCATGGATTTTGAGAGCCAAAAAATTAGGTTGCATTCCTACTGACTCGTACAGTCACCACAGAAGTAGTGAGCTGAATTTTATTCTTTCCCGCTCATGTCAGTCAGTTGTCCCTGTAAAGACAATTAACTTTGCAGCAGAGTGAACAAGTTAAAATTCTGCAAAATACCTTCCTGAACGAGAAACTTTTTTGCGGGGTCCCGGATTGCCACAGGACACAGGGCAGAACCCATAACATCCGACGGCACGTCACCTCGCCAGGCAGCCAAACACGGCCGCAGAACGCTGTTCGCATGGGTCCCAGAAGCGGGCACGTTCATTCACCTCTCGCTTTCTTTCCTCGTCAGAACCAGTAAGGATCTAAGCTCAGGCAGGAGACGAGAGGCCCCTGCGCAGCCCCCCTCGCAGAGCCAGCCCGGCAGCCGCAGGCCTCTCCTTTCACAGACAGGCAGCGTCCCGGCCCCTTCACTCTCATAAGAATTCTTTGCTGGTTTCGTTGGGATTTTGGTTGGCTGACTAATGCGTTTATATTTTTTTATTACACCTTTCCCCCCCCCCAGGAACGCGTGCTTACCTGCAAATAATCTTTACAACTGCCAGGCTTGGTTTAAGCCCACCAGAGCCACCAGGGCCTGGAAAAAACCAGCTGCCTCCTACGACACAGCGCGCGTAGCGAGGAAAAAGAGGGGCTCAAAGGCAGGGAGGGGGAAACCGGCCGCCACCCGATCCGTCGCCGGAAGCAATGAGGAA